GGTGGAGGAGGCAGACGTGGTGGATGTGGGTGTAGAGGTAGTAGGAGTGGGGGAGGTCAGTGGAGGGTTGTGGCTGGGTGGAGGAGGCAGACGTGGTGGATGTGGGTGTAGAGGTAGTAGGAGTGGGGGAGGTCAGTGGAGGGTTGTGGCTGAAGGCGGCTGTGGACGTGGKGGTGGTGGTGGTGACTACTTGGATGGAGGGGGTAGTGGTTTGGGACTCGAGGGCGGTGGACGTGGGCACTRTTGTAGAGGTGGGTGTCGTGGTCGTGACCACTGTGATTGCCGGGATTTGATGCTCCATAGAGGTCACGCGGTTGGATAGGCCAGAGATATTGGCTTCGATTTTGGTGATGGACGCGCGGATGTCCGTTTGGAAAGAGGACATCATGCGAACGAGGGTGGCGATATCGGTGGCAACGGGCTCGGATCTTTGTTCGCCCGTAAGTTCGCGAGCGAGGTTGTCAACAGACTGGGTGTTGACGGCGGTCCTATCGATGCTAGAGGACTGGGCCATGTTGGGAGAAGATGGAGTGGATGCGGTGGTTGAGGCGACGGCTGCGGATGAGGTGGAGGCAGACACGGCGGCAGCGGCGATAGGGTCTTGGTTTGGCGTGGTGGCATGTGGAGATGTAGGTGTGGCAAGGCTGGGGGTGGGGAGGGTATTTACAACATTAATTGATTTATTCAAAAAAAGGTTTTTGCCAAAACAATAAATGAATAAAATGAGAATTAATTCAAAATAACTTATTCCGATTTGGAGTAATTTATTCGAGATTAATTCGAAAATTCGGAAAGGATTTCGTGGGAGAAAGGTTGGAAACACAAAATTTTCAGGAATGAAATAAATGCTGAAAATATCGAAAAATAATAATAATTTCGAATAAATAAATTCTGGTTAAATTTATTCAAAATGAATTTTGGGGTATGAAAAGCGTGAAGTTTCAAAAGCATAGTTGCGGCGCACCTCGGTGCGCGGATTTGCGCAACGCACAGCGCACCAAAGCGGAACGCACTGGGAAAATTAGGTCCAAAAAAAAAAAAAAAGAGGAGGTGTTTTGTAATTTCTTAGGGCCCCCAACTCGGCAAAAATGTCAAACTCACCGCGCGAGCTCAGAAACCGGCAGCGCCCCAAGCTTGAAATTTTCTTTTGGGTAAGGGCTGCCAAATTTCGATTTCCGCAGGCCCTTCCCCCAAAAGTTTCAGAATGGCGAAGTATAAAGTACTTAAAAAATAGGGCTCATTCCATCTTTTTTTTTAGGCGGGGTATGAAAGATGTTGTTCCCGCTCCCTTTTGCAAATCCCACACAGTGTTGGGGTAAGTTCGCAAAAAGGGGCAGTCACGACCGACCCCGCGAATCTTCGCAGAGATCACAAGGTACATTTTCTATGGCCAGCCGACCATCAATATATGCTGAAGATTGGCGTTCAGGTCTGCATGTTGGCAGTTATGGGTTAGGATGAAGACGCCCGTGGCTCTCTCGTTTTCTTGTTTTTGTTTTCTTATGAATATGTCCAGTTGGGCCTGCTCCACTACTCACCCAATGCACAAAAGACATAGCATATGGCGGTGTATGGTTCCATGTTTTAGCAGAAGATTCATTCTACTAATATTCTATACATTTGGTGAGTGGTGGAGGGAGGCCCTGAGAATCACGTGGAGACACGAACAGGGTCTAGCTGAACTGGTGACCCATAACTGCCGGGCTACAGCCGTGAACTCGAATCCACAACATATATTGGTGGTCTGCCCCCGTGTCTCTCGTGCATGACGAGGCCATCCTTCTCAGTGAAGCAGCAGCCCTCAATAGCTCCCCATGCGTTGTAGGAGCCATTCGTGGTACCTGCAGGGGCTCTCGAATTGACATAAAGGGGATCCTTTTTGTCTCTCTCTCTCTCTCTCTCTCTCTCTCTCTCTCTCTCTCTCTCTCTCTCTCTCTCTCTCTTGGGCCTTATCTT